TGATTTTCTTATTAGGGTCTTTCTCTGTAAATTTTATTGCATTTAATTAAAAATTATTGCTAAGAGAAACAGCTGCAGATGGTCTTATTTTAAGTCAGAAAATTAAAAACCGCATATTCTCATCAGTCAATTTCAACAAGAAGTGCATCCACACGCATTTGGACATGACGGCTTTGAGATTATAATAATTTTTATGGCAGTTCCAGGTCCTTTCAACGAAACATAATGAAAGCTCTGCGTGAGTTCATTTGTCAAAAATGTAATAATGACGGTAGGAAGGCGCCGGCCTGTGGGAGGATGCAGACACCAACGAAGACCAGGGATCAGCGGCACAGCCCCAGGCCCAGCCCCAGCCCCAGCCCCAGGCCCAGCCCCAGCCCCAGCCCAGCCCCAGCCCCAGCCCCAGCCCCAGCCCAGCCCACCCCCAGCCCCAGGCCCATCCCCAGCCCCAGCCCAGCCCCAGCCCCAGCCCCAGCCCCAGCCCCAGCCCCAGCCCCAGCCCCAGCCCCGCCCCGCCCCAGCCCCAGCCCCAGCGGGCCCGGGCCCCAGCCCCAGCCCCAGCCCCAGCCCCAGCCCCAGCGGGCCCCAGCCCCAGCCCCAGCCCCAGCCCAGCCCCAGCCCCAGCCCCAGCCCAGCCCCAGCCCCAGCCCCAGCCCCAGCCCAGCCCAGCCCCAGCCCCAGCCCCAGCCCCAGCCCCAGCCCAGCCCCAGCCCCAGCCCCAGCCCCAGCCCAGCCCAGCCCCAGCCCCAGCCCCAGCCCCAGCCCCAGCCCAGCCCACCCCCAGCCCCAGCCCCAGCCCCAGCCCCAGCCCCAGCCCCAGGCCCAGGCCCATCCCCAGTCCCAGTCCCAGCCCCAGCCCCAGGCCCATCCCCAGCCCCAGGCCCAGCCCCAGCCCCAGCGGGCCCCAGCCCCAGCCCCAGCGGGCCCCAGCCCCAGCCCCAGCGGGCCCCAGCCCCAGCCCCAGCCCAGCCCCAGCCCCAGCCCCAGCCCCAGCGGGCCCCAGCCCCAGCCCCAGCCCCAGCCCCAGCCCCAGCCCCAGCCCCAGCCCCAGCGGGCTCCAGCAGGCTCCACGGAGAGAGGCTCGGGCGCCAGTCCCAAAGTCTGCCAGCTACGCCCTGCCACACACGACCTCTCATGGACACGCACCGCTATGCACCACCAAGACACACATACTTCTGATCACCTTCTTTGTTACATTTGTGGGTGTGCACTGCCATGATAGAAGATAAATAAATAAAAGCTAGGAACCACTTGGGCAAAATTCTGTAGTCACTGCCTGTGGAGAGGCTGCAGGTGCAAGGCAGTGGGGTGGATGGATGCATGGAGGGGGAGGGGGAGGGGGGCATGGAGGGAGGAGGGGGAGGGGGAGGGGGGCATGGAGGGAGGAGGGGGGAGGGGGAGGGGGGCATGGAGGAGGAGGGGGAGGGGGAGGGGCATGGAGGGAGGAGGGGGAGGGGGAGGGGGCATGGAGGGAGGAGGGGGAGGGGGAGGGGGGCATGGAGGGAGGAGGGGAGGGGGAGGGGCATGGAGGGAGGAGGGGAGGGGGAGGGGCATGGAGGGAGGAGGGGAGGGGGGGGGAGGGCGGCGCTGACACCAGCTCCTGTACTGGGCTTCACATTCCGGGCAGGTGCGGCCCCTGGCGTGGTCTGCACGCACACACCATCTCCTACTCTACACACCATCACCAACTCTACTCCTTGGTCTCTCCTTTAGCTTTTATTCCACAGACTGAATGTTTCTGACTTTTTACTGGAAACCAACACACGCACTACTTCTTTGGGATCAGACGGATTATCCAGGATAAAGAAGTGAATGGGGCAGACACAACCTTCAGAGTCCTGGAGCCGACTGGACGGAGCGGAGCTGAGAGCGTCTGTGCGCGTGGCACTGGCAGACCCCCCTCAGCTTCCTGAGGGGCCCTGCTTGGCTTCTGACAGCCAGGGCCTCGCCACGACCCCTGAGCTTAACCCCTGGCGCCCAAGCTCTCAGTGCCCACCAGGCTCTGCCTGCCAACCAAGCACACCTTGTGATGCCCAGCCATCGTCTCGCCCCCACAGCCCGGCTGGGGGTGTGTGAAGTCACCGGGCATGGGCGAGGCCTCAGCGCAGGAACAAAGCCCCGTGCCTCTGGCTCCCCCCCCACGTCACTGTGGCCAGCTCCCAAACTCTACCATCAGCCGGACACACCGCACACCTGTCCCGCAGGCCCCTCTGCTGAGCATGCGGACGGTGCCCTTACACCCAGGCCCAGCACAGAGCCGGCAGGCAGCCCGGGCAGCATGACGCTAGCAGCCGCAGAGAGCATTCTGGAAAAAGTAATAACAACAACAACAAACCAAGGCTCATGGGGCCCCTGGCCCCTCAACCCAGCCTTCTTCAAGAGGAGGAGGTACTGTCTGTGGCAGAGACCGCTTCAAAGTAAAGACCAGGTGGCTGGCATCAGACCCCCTGCCCGGTCCTGCTGGGGTCCCCACCCTCCACCTGGGAAAGCCTGCCTTCCCTGGAGCCATATCTGCCTGCATTCTCCATATTCAAAGGCCCTGTCAGCCCTGCCTGCGGCTACTTCTCCCTCTCCAGCTGCCTGCACCCAGGCCTGCTCCAGCCAGTGTGAGGGCAGTGCCCTCTGCTCACCTGCCCCCCCCCCCGCTCGGCTGCTCCCCCCCACTCACCTGCCCCCCCTTGGCTGTTTCCCCCTGCTCGGCTGTTCTCCCCCTGTTCACCTGCCCCCCCCCCGCTTGGCTGTCCCCCCCTGCTCACCTGCCCCCCCCTTGGCTGTTTCCCCCTGCTCGGCTGTTCTCCCCCTGTTCACCTGCCCCCCCCCGCTTGGCTGTCCCCCCCCCCTCGGCTGTCCCCCGCCTCGGCTGTCCCCCGCCTCGGCTGTCCCCCGCCTCGGCTGTCCCCCCCTCGGCTGTCCCCCGCCTCGGCTGTCCCCCCCCTCGGCTGTCCCCCGCCTCGGCTGTCCCCCCCCTCGGCTGTCCCCCCCCTCGGCTGTCCCCCCCCTCGGCTGTCCCCCCCCTCGGCTGTCCCCCCCCCCTCGGCTGTCCCCCCCCCTCGGCTGTCCCCCCCCCTCAGCTGTCCCCTGCCACTGCTCACCTGTCTTCCCTCCACCCCCCACCCCCACCTCCCATTTGCCTGTGCTCCTGATCATCTGTGTCTCATGCAGGAAGAGGAAGCAAGTTTTGCTCCCTGATCAACTGGTATGCAAGAGGGTATGGAAAGAGGATACAGAGACGTGGCTCAATGAGCCTGGCCTGGCCGTGCTTTGGGTTTGGAGTCAGCCAGAACCAAGGACCCAGCTCGCAGCATGGAGTGAGGTAAAGCAGGGAGTCCCGGGCAGTCCCGGGCAGTCCTGGGCAGTGCAGGGCCTTTCCCAGTTTCCTGGTCATCTTGCTCTCCTATCGTCTTGATCATCTGGACAGGAGGCCTGTTCTTTAACCACTAACACTCGCAGCCACAGGGTGGCCTTACCAATCCTGGTCTCTGTGGGACGGACCCCCCCCCCCCCCCCACACACACACAGCACATTCTCCAAGCAAAAACCACTCCCTCGGGGAGAGCAGGCCTCTACCTCTGTTCTGGCAGCAGATCTTCCCATCCTAGAAAGAACTAATAAATCACCAGACCCAGGCTTGGGATGGAAGGCCAAATACTCGAGTACAAACCAGCAAACACCTCCAGTGGAGCCCTCCATGTTCACTCCTGCAGCTCCGGGGTGGGGGGCAGGATGGGATGGGTCTATTAGGTCCCCCACAAGAGGGGGGAGACTCTGAGGGCTCCTTTTCAAATCATAGCCGGGATGGATGGTGTGGGCTCACACCAGGGGCCGCTAGCACGCACGGCCGAGGGAGAACCTGTCCTGCACCCCTGAGGCTACACCCCAGTGTGTGAGGGGCAGGATCCCCCTCCCCCGCACTCAGGTGAGCAGCAGCTCAGAAGCCCCCTCTCTCAATACCCCCCCCCCTTGCACTCTCACTTCCAAAGTAACACCACCAAAAAAAATCATCTGAAGGTTTATCTCTTAAAGACGGCCATTCAGAAATGTAGCTCCAGGTGCTGCCAGCTCTCTAAACCCATTAAAGCCCCTTCCTTCCCAGCTCCCAGCTGAAAGCCGCGTCTATTTACACAGCGGAAGGTATCCGGCTCAAGTGAGGGTGTTTTCCTCCTCGTGAGAGACATGGCTGGTTGGGCCAGATGCCAGACCAGTCTCCTAGCTGCTTTCCCAGAGGGGCGCGGCAAAGCCACCCCCCAGACCAGCGCACCCGTGCCGTTTGGCCCTCTCTCCACACCATGTCCTATGATCTGCCCTGCATGAGACAGCATGGGCCCACTTCACCAGGGGAAAAAAAACGGAGGCTCAAAGAGGTGCACCACGCACCCCAAACCACACAGGAGGACGCAAGAGCGCCTGAGGCTGACGTGACATCCACTCGGTCCCTGGCCTCCGCGGTGACACCCCCCCACCTCCACGGTGACACCTTCCCCCCCCCGCGGTGACACCCCCCCACCCCCACCTCCACAGTGACACCCCCCCCACCTCCGCGGTGACACCCCCCACCCCCACCTCCACAGTGACACCCCCCCACCTCCACAGTGACACCTTCCCCCCCCCCCGCGGTGACACCCCCCACCCCCACCTCCACGGTGACACCTTCCCCCCCCCGCGGTGACACCCCCCACCCCCACCTCCACGGTGACACCCCCCCACCCCCACCTCCACGGTGACACCTTCCCCCCCTCTGCGGTGACACCCCCCACCCCCACCTCCACGGTGACACCTTCCCCCCCTCTGCGGTGACACCCCCCACCCCCACCTCCACGGTGACACCCCCCCACCCCCACCTCCACGGTGACACCCCCACCCCCACCTCCACGGTGACACCTTCCCCCCCCGCGGTGACACCCCCCACCCCCGCGGTGACACCCCCCACCCCCACCTCCGCGGTGACACCCCCCCACCTCCGCGGTGACACCCCCCCCCCCCCAGCCAGGAGCGGCCCGTACCTCTCTGCTTCCTGCTCCGGGCTCTGCTGTTTGCTCTCGAAGGCGTTGAAGCTGCTCATGTCCACGTAGCCGTCGTTCTCGTTGGCCGTGGACAGGGCTCTGCTCTGGTCCTGGAACAGCTTGGTGAACGTGCCGGCCCTCGCGGGCCTCCGCGGTGGGATCTGGATGTTTTCGTAGTCGGAGTTCATGGCTGGAATGTTCTCGTAGTCAGAAGTGTCGGCGTTGGGGAAGGAAATGGAGCGAGGCTTGGTGGGAGGCAGGGGCAGGAAGGGAGGCCGGGAGCGGTCTTCGAAGGACTCTACCCTGGACACCGTCCGGCTGAAGGGGACCCCTCTCCTCTTGCCATCTCTGTAGAAGATGAGGGAGGACGGGGATTCGGAGGCCCGGAGCTTCCCGGCCCGGGACTTGAGCTGGGGGGAGTTGCTGAGACTTCTCCGGTCCATTTCCAGGATCCTGGCCGGCCCGTGATAGCTGGACTCGGACGAGGACCTGGAGGAGGACAGGTGAACCTCCCCGTGGCCCTTGCTCTCCGTCTTCTTCCGGAAGGTGAGCGCCAGGAAGCGCTTGAAGGAAGACTTCTTCTTCTTGGCGCCCTTGTCCAGAGAGTCGCTGTCCGTGAGGAGCGAGGGGGAGCTCTTGGTGATGGGCTTCTTGGTGATGCACGCCAGGTCGAAGGGGGGCGGGATGTCGGCCACCGAGGACGGGGTGGAGGTGCCGCTGGACGGAAGGTGGTTTCTCTGGGAGAAGCTTCCAGAAGAGCCGATGACACAGGGCAAAGAGAGGTTGTCCTCCTTCCTCTTGATGCGGTGCTCCTCCAGCCCGGGCCCCACGGGCTCTCGGTAGAGGGACAGCGGCAGCTCTCGGCCTTCCACGGAGAACGAGCGTGGGTACAGCGTGAAGGCCCTGGGCTTGGCTGGCAGGGGCACGGCCCGGCCGGCTTCCGGAGGCCTGGACTCGGCCGACGCCGGCTCCCCGGCTTCCTCCGCCGCTCCCCCTACGCCTGTGGCCGCTGAGCCGCTGTCGGGCCCCATTTCTTCTGGAACGGTCTCTGGGACATGGCCAGCCACCTTCCCGGAGTGCGGCCGAGCCCTGGCGGTGGCGTTCTTCCTGTCGGTGGGGGCCGGGCTGTCCCCCGCGCCCGTGTCGCCCGCGCCCGGGGCCCCCGCAGCGTCCGCCAGGCACGTCACGTAGGGGTTGCTCAGAGAGCCGTCCGCGGCGTCCTCTTCCTCCAGCATGACCACCCGGGGGCCGGGGGACCCCGGAAAGGCGTCACGGCCGCCACGGAGGGCCCCAGCACCCAGGATGGCGGCCGCGCAGACCCCCGTGCCGGGCGCCCGGTCCTCTTGCGCAGGCTCGGAAATGGAGTCACGCTGGCCGCAGAAGGAGGTGCTCTCGGTGGGGAAGAAGGGGTAGGGGCTCCCCGCCGGCGAGGCCGCCACGTCCTCCGCGCTGTCGCTCTCGAAGGGGATGATGTGGCAGCCGTCCTCCGAGGGGTCGTCCTGCCCGGGGGCCTCGGGGCTCTCCTCCAGGCGGGCTGCCACCGCGTCTCCCGGGCTCGGTTCCTCGTGGTGGGCAGCCGGCTCTCCCTGGTCCCCCCAGGCCCCGCGGCCCCCGCCATCCTCACCGCCTTCCACGACGCCCAAGGCACCCGCGGGTGTCTCCGTCTCCTGGACATCAGCGGCCGGCTCTTCCTCGGGGGGCTCCTCTTCCTTGAAGGGTTCCTCCTCCTGGGGGGGCTCCTCCTCTTCTCCCTCCTCTTCAGGGGGTTCCTCCTCCTGGGGGGTTTCCTCCTCCTTTAGGGGTTCCTCCTCCTCCTGGGGGGTCTCCTCCTGGGGGGTTTCCTCCTCCTCCTTGGGGGTCTGCTTCTGAGGGGTCTCCTCCTCCTTTGGGGGTTCCTCCTCCTGGGGGGCCTCCTCCTCCTTTGGGGGTTCCTCCGCCTTTGGGGGTTCCTCCTCCTGGGGGGGCTCCTCCTCCAGGGTCTCTTCCTCCTCCTCAGGGGGCTCCCCGCAGGCTTCATCCACATCCTGTCCAGCATCCTGAGTGGACGAGTGGAAATCCACACCTCCCCCGGGTCCCCCGGGTTCTGTATCCACACAGCCTTCCTCAGCATCCGCCTCCGCCTCCCCGGGGCCTTCGGGAGACGCCATGTGGATGTGAGCTAGGCTGATGGTGCTCTGAAAGGCCTCCTTTCCCTCCTCCGGGTTGGACGCGTTGCGTCCCTCCTCCTCTTCCTCTTCCCGCGGCTCCTCCGCGCTGTCCTCCCCGCGCACAGTGGTGTGGCCGGCGTCCCCCTCCCCGTCCCCGCTCAGCGCCTCTCCAGCAGGGCTGGCGGGGCGCGCTGGGCTGCCCTGGGCTCCCGTCTCCTCTGTGCCACGCTCCGGGCCTCCTGCCTCCGCATCCTCATCCTCGTCCCCCGTCACCTCCACAGGCGCCTGGGCCGCGGGCTCCTCGCCGTCCTCTCCCTCCGGAGCCCCGGAGACCACGGCCAAGTCCTCGTCGGTCTCCGACTCGGAGCCCTCGGCGCGGTGCGCCCCGTCCGGCACCCTGTCCGTGCACAGCAGCCTCCCGTTGCTGCATTTGTTTGTGTGCATGCCGGCTCTGCCCTCGCCGGGGGCGGCCAGCCTGGGCTTGGGCGCGATGGGGGGCTTCGGCCCCCTGGACATGGAGTGGGGGCTCCCCAGGCGCTCAGGCCTGGGCAAGGCAGAGATCTTGGGGACGGCTGCTGGTGTGCAAGGGCTGGCAGTCCTGGGCTTGGGAGCAAGTGGAGGTTTGGGTGAATCTAAAGGATGAAAGCGGAGAACAGAAGGGGAGAGTACCATTAGCCATCTGCACTCCCCGGGCCGGCCGATGGTGGTCTGCGGGGAGCCCTGAGACCGCTCCCCAGATCGTGGCACCACCCCCTCCCGCCCCCACAACCAGAAAAAGCCCTGGGAGGTTCACTGTAAACCAACAGTGGTCTTCCACACCCAGCCCGCCGCCGGAGGGGCCACGGCGACTCCCAAGTGCCCACACCAGAGGCCACGGCGCATCCCGAGCATCCACGCACTGGTGCGTGCGGCAGCTGTGCACAGCGCCGCACGTTCCCCACGGCTGCGGGCCAGTGCCGTGGAGATGCCCAAAATGAGCCACCAAAGGCTGGACAGCCCCAGCCCCCCCAGGACCGCCAACCAGCCCAACACTGGCAGCGGATGAGCCCAGAGACACGCAGCGTTGCAGCTGCTCCTACCGGCAGGGAAGAAGACCCTGGGGTGGACGCTCTCCACACTAGCCCAAGCTTAAAAAGAGAACCCTTACTCTCAGCGTGGAGTCACGGAGCCCGTGGAACCTGGCCGATCCCGATTCACAGATCAGCCAGTAATGGAACAGGGCCTCGCGGTCCTCATCTGGAAAAAACGGGCACGAGGCAAGCACTGCCCCGAGGGAGCTGGAAGGAAGTTATGTTCCTACAGAATGAATTAAAAGTGCTTCTCGGAGGACTTCACACAGGAGCAGCCCCTAACGAGCGACGGCTGCTCGGCCGAGCCTCACCCCACCTGCTGCGTGTCCCCTGGTATTCACCGGTGTTCACCGCAGGAGCTCCAGCTCCCCGCGCCCGTGTCTGCGGCTGGCACATGGCACGGCCTTGTGCCTTGGGGCGGGGCTCTCATTTCTCATCCTTCACAGGTGGCACTCCACGCCGGCGCCCCGAGACACCAGTGAGGGCCATGAAAAATGAATGTCCGCCTCGTCCCACCCCCACCCCATCCTTCATCCAATCACGCTATTGATCTGCAGGACCCGCTCCTCGGGAAAGGTTACCGTGGGTGTCTGAGGCGTGATCGGGCAAGAAAATGCCTCTCCCGCAGAGCCCATCTGAGTATTGCGGGTTGACAGCTGCAGCAGGCTGGTGGCAGAAAGGCCTTTTCTGACCAGTCACTGAAAGCTGGGAACTGAGGCACCACAGATGTAACCAGCATGAGCTCACCCACGGCAGTGCCTGGAAGAACCTGGGCTTCTGCGTCCTGCCCCAGGCCCCTGCCCCTCTGCCTGCCCGCTGATGCGTGCACGCAATTCCTCTACAGTGGAGGCCAACGGCTCTGACTTCCAGTGAGGCAGAGGAGAGGGAACGCAGAGAAACTCAGGCAGAGAAACAAAGGCCAGCTAGTCAGGTGAAGCCTCATAGACAGCTGGGTCTGGGGTTCATTAGTAATGATCATTAGGTGAATAACTGGCTTTAAATTGTTCCCACTCAGCTGGGCACCGGTGGCTCATGCCTGAAATCCCAGCTACTCGAGAAGCCAAGGACTTGAGGATCAAGTTTCAAGGCTGGCCCAGACAGAAAAGTCCTCCAGTCGTCTACTTCTGGTAAATAGCCTTTGTTGAGTTTCAACACATATCAAGTTCTCATCTAGCATCCTGGGACACATCAACACATGAAATAAAAATGCTGCCCCATTTCATACGGAAAGCTGGTGAGGGAGAAACAAGACAGATGACACCTCACTGCTAGATGACAACTTCAAGCACAGTGGCCCTGGGTGGACGTGAGAGCCAAGTTGGAGGAAGGGTGTGCGGGGATTTGCTTGCTCTGCCAGGGAGCCAGCTGGAGGGAGGCGAGCAGCCAGGTTAGGAGCAGGAGCTGAGGCCAGAGGAGTTGGGGAGGCGGAGGTGACCTGTGACCTGTGACCTGTGACCTGTGGCAGGAGCAGGGCTGACAGTGGGATGTCAGCAGGGCACCACCTGCCTGAAGAGCGAGGTTGCTGCAGGGAGACGCTCCCCAGGCTGAACAGTCAGGTTCCCAAGACAAAGGCAGACTGAGGGACTCGCTCAGCTGCACATGGCACATAATGCAAGAAAAAGCCAAGGCCGTCACCGAGGATCCCGAGAGGGGGAGATGGCACAGGCGGCCGGTGCCGGGGGCGGGGAGGGGGGCGGGGAGGAGTAGGGGAGCCAGGACGTCAGCCAGCCCAGGTCCAGGTGAGCTCCAATCCCCCCCCCCCCCCCCCCCGCGTGGAGAGGTCAGCAGGCAGGGGAGAGCAGGCACGGGAGAAGAGCGCGGGCAGGTGGCCACAAGGAGATGGGCTGAAGGTGTGGGCTTGGTGCGATCAGCAAGAGGACAGGAGAACAGAGCCCAGAGGCCAGCAAAGAACACGGAGGTCAGCGGGGGTCAGCGGGGGTCAGAGGCCGCAGGAGCCGGTGCTCACACCAAATCTGCGTGGAGAACGCTGGGAACAGGTGGCACTAGCACACACGCTAGAGGAAGGGGCTGGAGATGGAATCTCCAGGAGAAGGAGAATGGAGCACCCCAGGAGGGGCTGGAGCACCCCAGGAGGAGCTGGAGCACTCCTAGATGAGGGGAGGGAGCACTCTCCAAGGCCATGAGCACTCCAGGAAGAGATGAAGCACTCTAGGCAAAGGGAATGGAGCACTCTAGCAGGAGATGGAGTACTCTAGGAGAAGATGGAGGCACTCCAGGAGGAGATGGAGCACCCCAGGAGGAGATGGAGCACCCCAGGAGGGGCTGGAGCACCCCAGGAGGGGCTGGAGCACCCCAGAAGGAGGGGAGGGAGCACTCTAGGAGGACATGAGCACTGCAGGAAGAAGAGATGGAGCACTCCAGGAGACTATGGGGCACTCCAGGAGGAGAGGATGGCACACTCCAAGATGAGGGGAGGGAGCATTGCTGGAGAAGATGGAGCATTCCAGGAGGAGGGAACATCAGGAACGGAGCACTATGGCAGGTGTCTGAGAGAATGGGGCGCCGCTCAGCTGGTAGAACCGTGCAGTTGGGAGGCAGAGGTCCTGGGTAAATCAGCACTGAGCTTTACTCTTCTTGGTTAAGCTTAACTCCCTCCCTGAATGTAGCTGGGGGACCCTTAGGCCACATAGTTCCTCTGGAACTTTCTCCCCCCCTAAGGTTATACTCCCTGCTCCCTGCAGACCCGATGCTCAGGACCAGGGGCAGTTTGCTCCACCTGGGGATGATTCGCAGGAAGAACACCTTTTCACCACCAGGACACGAGTTAACGCGGCACAGGGGGAGCTGCAGGCACAGAAAAGATGCGTTTAGCTGCATCTGGTGATAGAAATCGTCCCGGGCTAGGGCTTGGGCGCCAGTCTGCATTTTTCTCTCCGTATTAATTAACTATCTGTCACTCACACGTCTACGTTGGCTGCTCCCCCACCAGCTCTGCAGAAGCTCAATGGAGTCCTGGGGGAGCACTGGACAGGGGGTTGGGAGCTCTGTCACTGAGTGGGGGTGCAATCTTGAGCAAACCCCCCACTTCTGGGCTCCAACTTTCCCATAAGTAAGAGGAAGACCCCCATCGGTCCCTCTGGGTGCCCAGGGTGACCACAACGACAACCTTCTCGGCTGGCCGCTCGTCAGACGCTCTTCACTACCCCAACTGCGTTCCTCACACCCGGCTCGGCTGCGGGCTGCGAGCTCTCCACGGAGCTGCAGGGCCATATGCCGCCAGCGTAATTATCTTCCAGATTCACTTCCCACTGCATCCTAATTGAACCTTCTGGAATGTCCAGGCCAGGCTCAGTGATTTCTAATTAGGCTGACACTAAGCGGGTGTAGCGACCCACGACAGGGCACTTCCCGGAAACACAGCCTGCGGGCGCAGCCCCCCCTGCGGGCGCAGCCCCCCCTGCGGGCGCAGCCCCACGTTGGTTGTGTGGCTTAAATGGAAGCCATGGCACGTTTTCCCCCCCAAAGATGTATGAGAAGTTTAATAGACACGGGAATAAAATGAGTAACAAAATCAACTGGCAGGCACTTCTTATGTGACGGCAGAGCAGGTTCCCACGCTGGACTCTGGGATTTGATCCTGGCTCAGTCAGCAACGCAAAATCTCCCTATCTCGTTTTTCCTGCCCGTAACCTGGGGACAGCAGCAGCCCTTGCCGCCCCAGATTTGTGGGAATGCTAACACCTGAGGCAGGCAGCTCCCACAGCACTGGAAGCAGCAGCTAATAGTTATTGGTTGCTTACACTGGACCCTGTTCTCTGCAGCTTTAACAAGCTCACTGTGTTGACTGATCATGAGACTCAGTTGACAAAGATCTCCCCATTTCTCAAAGACAGACTCAGGTTCAGCCACACAACCAGGCGGATGATGGGGCCGAGAGTCACAGTCTCCCAGAGTGTGGGAACCATGGAGCTACAGGATCAGATCATTCACAACTGGCTGCAGGCTGGAGCGGAACTGCAGGCTGACGGGAGCCAAGACCACCACGGAGAGGCTCCTGGGGCCCAGACCCGCCTCTAAGTTTCCTGGGTCTCCCTCCCCCTCAGCGGGATCCCCAGCGAAGGCAGGGCTGGCCACAGCCTCCGCAGGAAGCTGGACGGCTCTCACCATTGTTCCCAGCAAACTCATTAGCATGGGAGGAGAACCAGCCTGGGCTGTCCACACTGTGGGCGGTGGGCGGGTGGGCAGCAGGCCTTGCCCCACCGCAGCCGGGCCGCCCCCCCCCGCCCTCCACGTCCCCCTGCTGTCCACCACCTGTGACCCCCACGTCCCCCTGCTGTCCACCTGTGACCCCCATGTCCCCCTGCTGTCCTCCTGTGACCCCCATGTCCCCCTGCTGTCCTCCACCTGTGACCCCCATGTCCCCTGCTGTCTTCCTGTGACCCCCATGTCCCCCTGCTGTCCACCTGTGACCCCCATGTCCCCCTGCTGTCCACCTGTGACCCCCATGTCCCCTGCTGTCCTCCTGTGACCCCCATGTCCCCCTGCTGTCCACCTGTGACCCCCATGTCCACCTGCTGTCCACCTGTGACCCCCACGTCCCCCTGCTGTCCACCTGTGACCCCCATGTCCCCCTGCTGTCCTCCTCCTGTGACCCCCATGTCCCCCTGCTGTCCTCCTCCTGTGACCCCCATGTCCCCTGCTGTCCTCCTGTGACCCCCATGTCCCCCTGCTGTCCACCTGTGACCCCCATGTCCCCCTGCTGTCCTCCTCCTGTGACCCCCATGTCCCCCTGCTGTCCACCTGTGACCCCCACGTCCCCCTGCTGTCCTCCTCCTGTGACCCCCATGTCCCCCTGCTGTCCACCTGTGACCCCCATGTCCCCCTGCTGTCCACCTGTGACCCCCATGTCCCCCTGCTGTCCACCTGTGACCCCCATGTCCCCCTGCTGTCCACCTGTGACCCCCATGTCCCCTGCTGTCCACCTGTGACCCCCATGTCCCCTGCTGTCCACCTGTGACCCCCATATCCCCCTGCTGTCCACCTGTGACCCCCATATCCCCCTGCTGTCCTCCTGTGACCCCCATGTCCCCCTGCTGTCCTCCACCTGTGACCCCCATGTCCCCTGCTGTCCTCCTGTGACCCCCATGTCCCCCTGCTGTCCACCTGTGACCCCCATGTCCCCCTGCTGTCCTCCTGTGACCCTCATGTCCCCCTGCTGTCCACCTGTGACCCCCATGTCCCCCTGCTGTCCACCTGTGACCCCCATGTCCCCCTGCTGTCCTCCTCCTGTGACCCCCATGTCCCCCTGCTGTCCTCCTCCTGTGACCCCCATGTCCCCCTGCTGTCCTCCTCCTGTGACCCCCATGTCCCCCTGCTGTCCTCCTCCTGTGACCCCCATGTCCCCCTGCTGTCCTCCTCCTGTGACCCCCATGTCCCCCTGCTGTCCTCCTGTGACCCCCATGTCCCCTGCTGTCCTCCTCCTGTGACCCGCACATCCTGCCGGCCCCAGGGCCACGAACCCTGCAAACCTCCAGTCCTTGGTCAGATCCAACCCGCCCAACCTCCCCAGGCACCTCAGGAACAGAAGACTGTTTTCTTGGGAACAGCCCTCAAGGGGGACAGGCCACGTCCCTCCCCCTCCCTTCCCCCTCCCCCTCCCCCCCACTGCCCCATCCCCCCCACAGCAGGATATGCTTCCAAGACAGCAAATGGAGGCTTCCTGTTTCTCTAGGGACTGGGTCGGGAACGTGGCCGGGGCCTGGCCGCCCTTCTGCGGGTGTTAGGAGGGGCGGCGGCCGGCTCCGGGCCGGGGATCCCCGACGGGCAGGGCCGGCGCTCCGCGGAGGGGTCGGCCGGAGGGCACCGCGGTCCGCCCCAGCCCCGGGCTACCCCAGTCCTCCCCGTGGTCCGCCCGGCGCCCCAACCCTGGACTACCCCAGTCCTCCCCGCGGTCCGCCGGGCGCGCAGCCCCAGCCCCGGGATTCCCCAGTCCTCCCCGCGGTCCTCCTGGCGCCCCAGCTCCGGGCTACCCCAGTCCTCCCAGCGGTCCGCCGGGCGCCCCAGCCCCGGGCTCCCCCAGTCCTCCCCGCGGTCCGCCCAGGGCCCCAGCCCCGGGCTCCCCCAGTCCTCCCCGCGGTCCGCCGGGCGCCCCAGCCCCAAGCTCCCCCAGTCCTCCCCGCGGTCCGCCGGGCGCGCAGCCCCAGCCCCGGGCTCCCCCAGTCCTCCCCGCGGACCGCCGGGCGCGCAGCCCCAGCCCCGGGCTCCCCCAGTCCTCCCCGCGGTCCGCCGGGCGCGCAGCCCCAGCCCCGGGCTCCCCCAGTCCTCCCCGCGGTCCGCCGGGCGCGCAGCCCCAGCCCCGGGCTCCCCCAGTCCTCCCCGCGGTCCGCCGGGCGCGGCCGGGACCGGGGCGCGGCGCGCGGGGCTGGGCTGTGGGGCGCAGGCGGCGGGCGGCCCGGACGGGGAGCCCGGGGCTCCGGGAGGCTCGGGCGCCGCCCGGCCCGCGGTGGGCGGCCGGGGAGGTCGGGGCGCCGGGGCTCGGCCGGGCCGGGCGGGGGCGGCGCGGCTCCTACCTGCCCGGTTCATCTTCCGGCGCGGCGCGCAGAGCCCGGGGCCGCGGGGCGCGGCGTCCGTCCGGGATCCGGGCGTCCGTCGGTCCGGCGCGAGTCCGCCGCCCGCCGCCGCGCTCACGGCGCCCCGCGGGGCCCGCACCCCCGGCCGCCGACCCCGCCCCTCCCCGGGCGCAGCTCCCGGCGCGGCGCGCAGGGCCAGTGGGCGCGGGGCGCGGGGCGCGGGCGGGGCGGGGCCGGGCCGGGCGGACGGGCT